CTTATGAGACTTTCTCGACTAGACTTAAGGATAGACAGCAGAAGACTTTCAAATGTAAATTCAAGTCTCAATTATTTATTAACATTACACCACACACACAAAGTAATTAAAATAAAAACAATTCGTAAGAGTGTGTGTCATGCACACATTGCATTCAGTGCGACTACTAGTTCGCATACCAGGCAAGTAATGTACGTACAGCACCACTACATATTATGCAGTGACGTGCAATTGAAATGTGCTCATCATCCACTGCGGTATCAGTACTCAGTGTTCGAATAACCTTTAGTACTACGCAAGCAATGTCATCATTGCTGTCGCGAGGAATGTGTTCTGTTTTTGGGCATATTGTTGCGATACTGGCCCCGCCCCCTTTTCACATCTTTCTTTAGTTTCTGTGACCTGTGCTCTATAGCTACCTACCACTGTCCTACCACAACATCAGCGAGTAGACTTCGAGTGTCGATCGAGAACCATCGTTTCTTCGCAGTTAAACGTCGCGGCATTTCCGAGTAATTAATAAAGATAACGCTATCTTCGGCGGGGTCATCGTAATTTTAATGAGCGCGTACGCTTATAGTAATAGCTTTAAGAGACGCATTGTGTTCTGTCACCGCCAAGATTATCGCGAGAACTTGATGAATTATCAATAGGGTAAATGACACCAATAAATTCACGTACTTAATAAAACTGTCAATACGATATTCTCCTACAGATTTTTAGGCCCTACATTATAGGGCAATACAAGCCGATGACGTCACTATTTTGCTAACTCAATTGACTAACTTTTCATCATCAATTATAAAGCAACTAAGAATCTTAATTTCAACTGTAAATGTTTTTATCTAAATTAAGAATAATTGAGTGTTTTAGACCAGAATAAAATTTGTTTTTAAAACCAGAATGAAGGGTGTTTTTACCCGACTGTCCCAGGTTATTAAAAAGTAGTGCTTTAGAATTATTTGTGAATGGTGACAGATACCCAGTTCTCTACAGTTATTCATGTTTTTTCGGGCCTAGTAGTTCACGTACAACATTTGTGTGCATAGAAATTTGTTTGTATTGGTCTGAGCGTTTTCTAGGTAACATGCCTTTTTACAAAACCTTTATGTACAAAAAAAGTTCCCAGTGGTTTATGAATTTAGTTTATTTTAGTTGGTGAAAAAAAAATAGAACAGTGATGTGATTCAAATCCATTTATTTGTTTGTTGATCCACAATGTTTATGATAAAAAATACATTCACCATTCTCGTTTGACAATGAAATCAGAATACATAGAACCTAACAGGATTCCTGATGAATATGTTAGGCAAAAAATGGTATTCCAAATGCTGAAAGCACCCGTGCAAACGAAATCAATAAACATCTATAATAAAACCTCATTTTTTCCACCACCTTTAAGGTCAAACGACTTTAAGTTTTACGCCGACGGATTAAAGTATATGTTTGAGGAATCAAAGTCCGGATGACAAGGTAAGCCCGGAGTAAGTGACCCGGAAGCTTTCAAATTACGGCCGTTGAATATTTTATTTCGCTCCGACCGATGACGTTCAGATATTTCCGCTACCTTTTAAATGTATGGGATTTTGCCTTTCATCCATAGACAACTTCGCCACAGACTGCGCTTTGTTTAAATTAACTAATGTTTTTAATTAGAATGTACAGGTGACAGATGGAAACGTATCAACTATCTTCATCAAATATTAGAATATGCTTGGATTTGACTCTACAATATTGTAATGAGCGCTCCCTGAGTAACTTAGGTGTGTTTATAATTATGTAAGTAAAATTTTCAACTGCTGTTATAAAAATAAGAACAGAATCGTTCCCGAGTAGCGACCCCACGCACAGGGAGACTTGATGGACCGACAACCGGGTAAAGGTTGCTGGAAACGCCTGGATGCGGATAGCTTTGGACAGAGATCATTACGGAAATCTCTCCAAAAGGATTTGAACAACGATCAGTTCTACCTTACCCAGCTAACCGTACTTTTGCGCAGCAGTATTTAGGTTGAAGAAGAAGAAGAATACAAAATAAGTAAAACTTCAAAAGTGACCCTCATAAATATTATACATATTTATTATACATATTATACACAAATGAGGAGTCTATCCTATTTAAACGTCTATGTTGTGCCTTCGAATGAGTTCATCATGACATGTCCTTCCACTCAACATCGTACCGGTGTATGGTTCAAGTTATAAAGTTACGATACCTTTTCTGCAATTCATTCTCTGACAATGCCTGCATTGCTGCCACTTGATTTGGATTAATTACCTGGAAGACAGAAAAAGTTTATTAGACACTTAAAAAAAAGCAAACACTAAGGCTGAGTTGCACCACCTAACTTAGACTGTAACTATGACGATAACCGGTGTATTTTGTATGGAGTTTGACAGATTTTTGACGTTTGTCATAGTTAAAGTAAGATGGTGCAACCCACCCTAATAGTGTAAAAGAACTATTTAAATAACTGGATGTTGTTAGACAAAAAAAAACACATCCTTACAGAAAATATAACTTTTCTTTTTAAACAACGGAATGTTACTTACGCCCGTATTTACAAACATTACTATGAGGTCTCACAGTGCGCGTGGACGCACAGAGTGACACATGAACCAATCACAGAGCTCTATTCAACGCTGTGCGTTCGATTTGCTGCTTCACTTAAGCAAGCATCGTTTGTGAATACGAGCGATAGTATGTATGCTAGTAGCTATTATTACGCAAATCAAAATCCTTTTATCGATCAATCACATTAAACCGTTTTTAGGACTAGACATACAATATCTCATTGAATACTTATTTCTTTGTAAAAGCTTTCATTTGAAAAATGAAGAAACAAAGAAAAGCCCGATTGATGAAGAAAAATTGTATCATTCTGAATCTGCGTCTTCCATGCTAAAACAGAAACTAATCCATTTGCTAAGAACTGAACGCTTTCAGTAGAAACCATTAGGAAGATTATTAAAAAACAACTTTTCCCATAGGTACAGTACATTAGACTATACAATTTTGTCACAAGAATACATTTTTCACACTGACATAAGATGCTACGAGTATTTAGCTAGATATAGTAGTAATCTACTCGTAGCTCATATTTTTTTGGAGTTGCATACTTACGTATACTTACTGGCAATTTATGATTATAGGAGAAAACAAAAGCTATATTATTTTCAGTGCTAATGTGATACGGATATACAGTGAGCTACGTTGCCTTTATTGCTAAGGATTTTTCTTGAATAACGTTCTTTATTCAAGGAAATTCATGGCGATTTGGGTAGACACTAAGTACGAGATTTCAAAGAAAAACAGTCGTCAGATGAGAATGTTCTTATTCTAAGAAACTAGATAATCTATCAAATTATATTCGTTTATCCGGCTGTATGTCCGATTTTTAATAACTAACAATGTATGTATGTATGTAATGTTCTAACAATGTATGGCTACGATTTTACTCGTAGCTCTTAAGTTACTCGTACATTTTTGTAATGTTTTTTACGCAATCACTGGCGAGTACAATTTAGGAACACACTCTCTTTTCTCTCTCACAACTATTTACATTTATAGAATTTGCATTAGTTACTGAATTCCCCTACATTGTGGTGTAGAGCAAACCAAAACAGCGTTTCGTTCACGGAAAAAATTGGATATCAATCCAGGATATCGGAGATTAGTTTTTAATCAAGCGGGTTCGTTGTGAGGCTTAATACGTAAAATGCAGCTTCTGTGAGATTTGATTTTATTAACGAGAAATCGACGGGGAATACTGAAGCCATAGTAAAGGGAATATAGAGTATTGTGTTTTTTGTTCAATTATTTCTAAACAAAGCAGCAGTTAGATGAGACATGTAGGTAGAGGATTTTTTTTGTTTTGTTCAAGTTGTCCTAGACAAGATTGTATGAAGGAAAATTCAATAAAAATAGTGAGCGTGTGAGACAAAAGACAGATCTTTGAACAAGATGGTTTTTTTATGTTTAGCTGTTGCTTTGTTGTATCCGTTAGAAAATGTCCTACTGTATCTACATCTCTTCTACAATACTGAAGCCGTGTTAATTATGTACGGATCCCCACATGGGACGAGCCAAAGCTTATTATTATTGGCCGACACTGATACTAATTAATTGTTGCATTAATACAAAATATATATTAATCCCGATTCAATTATGTAGAAAATTGGTTGGTAATATAAATAATAACGATTATATTACGTATTTTACCATGACACATAATTGTCCATCACTGATCGTCGAGTCAAATTATGTAGTACTACTACTACTTTTTGCACTATTTGAAAGAAAGAAAGAAAGAAAAAACATTTATTTGCTAGTATTTATTCAAGTACTTATTATTATTATTATTGGTTTTTGGGCCTTTATTTGCGCCAACTCGACCAGGTTTGATCTATTGTGGCAGCCCTTGTCTTTAAAGTTCACTGCTTAGTCCCGTTGAGTCTNAATATGAAATATCGATATCGACATTGACTTGGTGATTGTATTGTTAGAAAGATTTACTTCTCTCTTGTAAATAATTTTACGTATAAACCGAACAAAAGAAAATTAAAACAGAGTTCCGTACCATCTTTGAAAGTTGAATTTCGACATTGAACTAACCTTCTATGTACCTTCACATACGCTAAAGTAATAAAGAATATTGAAAGAGCATGAATGCTCAAAATGCCACCTCTTGTTCATCCTCTAAGGCCCGGTTTACACTAAGGCGGAGTGGAGCAGAGAAGTTTTTTGAATCCAATCAGATTCCCTTATTTGCACATCTTCACTCCCCTCCGCTTCGATGGAAANTAATAATACAAATAATTATGTTCGTGGTATTTGCCTGTTTCATTATTTTACATATTATGGTCAGTCAAAAGTGTGTACATTTTTATTTCAATACGCTGGCCACCCAGCGGAAATTATAGTGTGGTACAGCACAATATGAAATATCGATATCGACATCGACTCGGTGATTGTATTGTTAGAAAGATTTACTTCTCTCCTGTAAATAATTTTACGTATAAACCGAACAAAAGAAAATTAAAACAGAGTTCCGTACCATCTTTGAAAGTTGAATTTCGACATTGAACTAACCTTCTATGTACCTTCACATACGCTAANTAGAAAATTAAAACAGAGTTCCGTACCATCTTTGAAAGTTGAATTTCGACATTGAACTAACCTTCTATGTACCTTCACATACGCTAAAGTAATAAAGAATATTGAAAGAGCATGAATGCTCAAAATGCCACCTCTTGTTCATCCTCTAAGGCCCGGTTTACACTAAGGCGGAGTGGAGCAGAGAAGTTTTTTGAATCCAATCAGATTCCCTTATTTGCACATCTTCACTCCCCTCCGCTTCGATGGAAATGAATCAAAAGGAGAAGAATCAGGTGCACTTGATTTTCTATAGAATTTGACGCTGCCTTGCGGTGCGGTGTGGAGTTGTGCGGAGCGGTGCGGTATTTCATAGATAGCAATAGACTGACAGCTAACAGCTACGCACAGCTCACGCATCTCCTCTCGTCTCAGCACAGCTGCGCTCTTCTCCGCTCCGCTTTGGTGGAAATAGCCTGCCAGCTTCGTCGTACATCTCTCGTCTCCGTACCGCTCTGCTTTGGTGGAAACCGGGCCTAAGGCTGATAGTCGATCNGACCTCTGCGTCTGAAGCAGGTGGTCTTACCACTAGACCACAGAGGCGGTTAACCTACTAAATTGACACAATAAAAATAAAATCAGATGTACTTGTGGAAAAATTAAGTCTTCCAGCGACTTGGGCCACTTTTAGCTTGGTCCACGGGCCAAGTCGCCGCATTGAATTTTGAAATATTTTTTCTTTTGGCAACTGAGCTCACCGCTTAGGCCTCAGCCTCGAGTTTAGCGGGCAGCGGGGCGGGAGCGGCGGCGGCGCGGGAGCGGGGCGGGCAACGCAGACCCGTTCTCGAAACAAGCGGGCAGCTCGCGCGGCGCTTTAGCGGCGAAGTGTTGTGTTCGGGGTTGTGTTGTCAAGATATTTGTTTTTATTCGCAAACGAAATGTCTGAACAACGCGGCGACAATTTTATTTCGATTCAAATTTATTCCTAACGCTCGATTTGCTCCCGCTCCCGCGCCGCTGCCCGTTCGTTGCCCGCTCTCGCGCCGCTGTTTTCGAGAACCGGTCTATTTGATTTTACGCATAAGATCCTGCCGCTCCCGCGCCGCCGCCGCTCCTGCCCCGCAGCCCGCTAAACTCGAGGCTGAGGCCTTAATGCTACCAAAAGTGGACTAAGTCGCTGGAAGTCTCAAAAATGCTGTTAGGTTGCGTAACGTGAGGCGAACACATACTTACACTGATGTAATTTAATTAATAATATTCAAAATACACAAATCAGCAGAATACGCAACATCAGCGCGACAAGCGTAAATACAAATCTTTGGTTGTGTTGATCGCCTCAACTCTTTCTGCGCGACCTATTCTTTGTTAAAGAATATTATCTATTTTTAAATACAAATTACTAATTATCTCGTTAACCCCTCGTGGTAAGCTAAATATGCTTGACTACGTCCACCACAATAGTCGAACGGCGGCGGGGATCGAACCCGGGTTCCTAGGATCACGTGTCGGCTAGACCTCTGATACCTTCACCGCTCGGCCGTAGTCGCATAAACGCCTGTACCATAGCCTATACTATACTTTGTACGCTGACTAAATATAAATCCGTTCTGCTAAGAGTGGTGCCGTGGAAAAGTAGAATTAGTAAGGCCCAGAACAGACGGTGAAACGCAACTGCAACGAAACTGCAAGTTTCTGATGATTCTTATGAATGAAACTGAAACTGAAAGTTTCAAACTGGTCGCGTCATGTGTGGTCTCTCAACGGACGCTATGGCAGAAAGTTTCGTTGCAGTTGCGTTTCACCGTCTGTTCTGGGCCTAAATTTTCTCACTACTTAGATAGACAGATGAAATACAGTTGTATAGTCATCCTCAATAGGTTGAGACAGAGCGCGGCCAGATCCGTTTTTCTAAAAATCAGTAATACGGTATTACTAATACCGAAATGTATGCTTACATAATATACAGGGTGTTAGGTAAATGGGTATATGAGCCGACACTAGCCCATGTTAACATGGGCATATAAATGGTATGGTGAAGTCAGAAATTTCATATCATCATTTTATTGATATCTTCATTTTAATTATTTTAATTTTCATACAAAGCTGATTTTATAAAATTTATTTTGTATGATAATTAAAATAAAATAAAATGATGATATGAAATTTCTGACTTCACCATACCATTTATANCATTTTATTGATATCTTCATTTTAATTATTTTAATTTTCATACAAAGCTGATTTTATAAAATTTATTTTGTATGATAATTAAAATAAAATAAAATGATGATATGAAATTTCTGACTTCACCATACCATTTATATGCCCATGTTAACATGGGCTAGTGTCGGCTCATATACCCATTTACCTAACACCCTGTATAATACAGTGTGTCCGGGCATGTAGTGATCAACTATGGACAATTTTATCGACGAAAATACTTCAAATCGGGGGCTTGACTCACCTCTCGCCAAATTAGGTGCAAGACGAACAATGATACATAAATGGTAGTTAGTAAATTTATCATCTATTATTTTAAGTAATTAGTTTATATTATGTACCGACGATGATGTACTTACTTATCTCATAATGTAAAATAAATTGACCGGATATAGTACTAAAATATTTAGGTACCTAAGTTTTTTTTTATCGTCTTATTTGCCTCAAGTTTACAAACAAATCATTTGGACATGGTCATGAGTTCATGACATTGATCAGTCTAAGCACATCGAGCTAATGTCGGCCTTATTCAGCGGTAATAGGTGTGAGTCATCAGCCTCTCCGTATTTGTTGACCTTGCCTGCCAGCAGTCTCAGGGCGTGCTCTGTCCTCGTTACTCGTCCCTCCGCGCGCGTTGTTGTGAAACGGAACGTTTTCAGGATACACTGTTATTTTTTATCTGTGGTGAATTTAAAAAGATTCAAAAAGTGACGCGTTCCATTTTCGAATTCGAATTTTTCTTTTAGAATTTGGGCCGTCGGAACCATGTAACAAAACAATGCACGATCGTTGTCGCGAGTCCATCCCCCATCACTGCGCATGTGCGCGACACCCGACCAAGTAGTAGAGATGGATGTTCCACTGCATGCTCTTTGGAACACGACTTTCACAATTTGCCGGGTTGCGCTAGCGCGGGACTGAAGAAGAAGGTGTGGGGTCTGCGGTGTAAGGTTTACTTTTCATTATCAAGTATTTTCCTTTGGTTCTTGAATGAAAATCAGTCGATCAGCTGTGCAAAATAGTTTTGTAATGTAATTACTTGTGCTTTGAATGAATGGGGAACAAAATGACGGCTTATTAATAGGAAAATAAGGGTCCCTGTTTGTGAATTTTCGTAAGTTCGTTATTTAACAACTTACATTCTTCTACTTACGTTTGCTTGAAGAAAGCAATAAATACATTTGAAATATTATTATCCTGTTAAAAAGGTTTACTAGTTGACGAACCAGACAAGTCACGTAAACATAGTCCACACAATTTTATTGATTTACAATTTACATGAACCATACTGCTGCTAAGCAATCACGGTGTTTGATTTCAATCCAATTAGGCAGTGTGTTTCGTGTTTCAGCGATAAAATGTTTCACGATATCTTTTAAGGCCGACTTTTAAAAACATTAAACATCATTGTTTCGAGTTTTCTATTCACAAAACAACTTCCTTCGGCTTTGTATGTTTTTAATCGTGTGAGAGATTTGTCTGAGAATCTGCATCACTCTGATAATAACTTGACATTATTATGATCTAAAAAGTATGTTAAAAAATACTTAGTACGAGAAACCGATAAATATCCCTTCATTATTTCCCTTCATATTTAGTTTTGATGCAGTTGGGTAATGATAATTATTCTATCTGTTGATATCATTCTAATTCGATAACAAACAAAAATTGTATCCTCTTAGAAGTAGAAAGAGGTTTTCTTGTTTAACTACCTATAGGTAATACCTACACGAGAATTAACAACTATTTTATAGTACGAGAAACAATAAACTTTAATAGCACAATAACCATGCCTTTATGGAATGAAAGTATATTGCATAGCATGGTGCGTGTCAGTGGCGGCTTAGCATGGGTTGGCACCCGGGGCGATCACCCCCCCCCCCCCCAAGTCCTATGGCACCCCTTGTTACCCCCCCAGTACCTCTAGTAGGAAAAACTTTCGAGTTCGTTTCGTTGCGTATTCAAAGTGTCTTCGAAAAATTTTACCTACCGATTCGAAGATTTGAAAGACAATCGCACCCCCCCCCCCCGTATCATGACATAGACCGCGGATTTTCCATGCAGATGTGCTAGTGAGTACTAATCTGCGCGACTTTTGTCACCCCCTGATGCTTGGCACCCGGGGCGGGCCGCCCCCACCGCCCCCCCCTTACGCCGCTACTGGTGCGTGTTATGTTGTGTTGTGTCACCTACATTTACATGGGAATTCATGGGACTACTTATTCCCACTTCGCGTTCCCATCGCTGCAACTCCAGTGTAGCCAGGATCTACAGCCTGGTCGCCAGTGAAAACCAGTTAATGAAGGAAATGATAGTCCTAGTGAATATGGCATTAAATTAATAGAAATAATTTAGGACGAAAGAAAGAAAAAATGTTTATTTGAATTATGATTAATACATTAACTGGAGTAGTCATTGTGCGGTTTGCATTCTTTGCTAGTGCCTTCACGGTCAGATCGTATCAATACAACATGTATACCAATACACTGTAACAATCTTATAACAATGTATCATTCACAACAAAATCACCCATTAAAACCTTTTCAATACCAAATGACATCATGGGTAGGAAGACATTGGAGGAAAATGAATGCGTCCAACAATATAGTTCCAAAATATAGATGACCCACGCTGAACTGTCCCGCCAAACTCAATGACAGGGGGGCGCTACCATCGTTCAACTATATGGTTTCCAACATGGCAAAAATCTGAACCAGCGATCCGGTATTGACAGTGGCGCCCCACTGTCAATGTCATCGACAGGACAGTCCAGTATTTTGGAACTATAACCTGTGCATTAACCCTTAAAAGTAAGATCTATTCTTACTTCTTTATGCTTCAAGTATTTTTGGGTTAATTTTCAATAAAAAAAAACGGAGACTGTGCATCTATAGTTCCAAAATACTGGACTGTCCTGTCGATGACATTGACAGCGGGGCGCCACCGTCAATACCGAATCGCTGGTTCCGATTTTTGCCATGTTGGAAACCATATAGTTGAACGATGGTAGCGCCCCCCTGTCATTGAGTTTGGCGGGACAGTTCAGCGTGGGTCATCTATACTGGACTGTCCTGTCGATGACATTGACATTATATGACGTACATTTGACATTGCTGTATGAACTAGGCTAACTGTCAAATTTGATCTTGTTTACGTTTAATAAATCTAATAATTGTGCTCTACACGCGTAATTAAGAGATTCCTATTAAAATAGAAATGGAATAAATACTACTAGTTCCTAACGGCCTTTATG